AGAACTGCTTGGAAGTGTTTAGAACTGCTTGGAAGTGTTTAGAACTGCTTGGAAGTGTTTAGAACTGCTTGGAAGTGTTTGGGATTCTTTGTCTTCAAGAGATGACCAAAGGGAAGAGGCCAGGGAGCTCAGGAACCACAAGCACAGGAAGGAGGTAACCACAGAACTGTTGTGCACTCCCTTATAATACAAGGCTTGGGAGCAGCACACGAAACGGCCAGAACGCCCGTCCGAAAACAGGAGCCGCCGCGCTCGGGGCTGCGCGGAGCCGCCTGGCACAGGCTCGCGGAGGCCGAGCAAGGGGCAGGTTCCGAAGGGAACGGGAGACTCGCAGTGCGGCCGTTCCCAGCCTGGATCCGCTCCCGCGCGCGCCGCTCGCTAACCCCGAGCGCCCGGCGGGGCCCGACCATCCTGCAGGAGCCACCTGCTCGTCCCCCTGCTCCCGGCGCTGGCGCTCGCCCCGCGGGAGCGCCCTCAAACCCAGCAGGAGGGCACGCCAGGGCGCACCCCGACGCGCCGATCCTCTGCACCGCTGCAGTTCAGCAGCCCAGGGAAACCCCGACAGCGTTCGGGTCCCGGGGCTGACGAAAGCTCCGCACAGACAAGGCCTCCCGAAGGCCGCGAGGTGCCAACGGCCAGGAAAGGAGGCGGCGGCTGCGGTGGGGAGCTAAGCAGCGCTACGGCAAGGGACCACTCACTACATCCGACCATAACTCAGGGCCCCTCCAAAAGGAGAAGCGCCCAGGGAGCAGAGGCCTGCGCTTCGGAGTCCTTTCTTCTCCAGAAAGCTCCATGCTCAAGCTAACAGTCACCCCACGAGCAGCCCTGCAGCAGCCCAACACCTCCCAGCAACAGCGGAGGGAAGTGCTGGGGAAAGAGCTGTGAAGGCAGCGGCGAGAGCCGCGAGCACTCCCCATCCTGCCCGCAGCCACGGCACGGCCGGACGCTCTGAACCTCCGAACCGGGTCTCCGAACCGGGCCTCGCCAAGGCTGCAGAGCCCGCGGCGCCCGGGGGAGCGGGGAGAGCCAGTCAGCAGCTCCCCGGGGCCACAGCCGGGGGGACGCTCCCAGATTCCGCGTTCCCCGCCGGGACAGCGGCTCCGGAGCAGGAAACCTGCTGCGTGGCCCAACCTCACACTCCCGGCGAGCGGGACAAGCCGCGCGGGCAGCGGCGGCCGCGGCGCTTACCTGCACCAGCGAGTAGCCCAGCAGGCGCAGGTGCCGGTCGCGCATGGCTCGCGAGCCCACCAGGATGTCCGAGTTCTGGCAGTAATGCCACTTGTCGTTGACGGAGAGCACCACCCTGCAGGGACAGAGCCGGGCAGGGCGTTAGGCAGCGCGGGTGGCCACGGGGACAGGGGCAGTCACATCCCCGCTGCCCGCAGCGCCCGTGTCCCGCACGGCACCCCAGGGAAAGGGCTGCGCGGAGCAGGCGGTGCCATCCCCGGGACCCCACCGGGGTGGGCGCCCTGCGAGCGCCCCTCGGTACCTCCGAATCTCCTCGGCTCCCTGCGGCCCCTCTGCGGGGCCTCTCTTGGGGCTGGGCCGGCGCGGGGAGGCCGGCGCGCAGCCTTCCTCCGCGGCCGGAGCGCTCCTCTCCTCCGCCTCCTCCTGGCCTTGCTCCGCCTGGAAGCGGCTGTGCTCCGGCCCGGGGCAGCCCGGCGCCGCCGCCTCCTCCTCCAGGATCTTGCCGATGGGGAACTGGAAGAGGGAGGCCGCGGAGGTGCCCCGCGGGGAGCAGTCGGGGGTGGCCGCGGGCTGCGCCGAGAGGCACTCGGACGGGCTGCTCAGCGTCGAGCTGCCCTGGCTCTCCAGGGAAGACTCCTTGCTCAGAGCGCAGTAATAGTCCGAGGGGGGCTGGTAGCAGGGGCCCCCCGGCGCGGGGCAGAGCGTGTGCAGGAAGCGCCCACCCAGACTGTTCTCCCGGGAGCCCGGGGGGCTGCTGGGCGGCTCTGCCGCAAACGGGGCAAAGTCCTGCAAGTCCGAGGTGAGGGCCAGCACGCTGGAGCGCAGGGAAACGGCAGCGGGAGCGGCGGCGGGAGCCTTGGCCGCCGCGGGCACGCGGGAGAGCGGCAGCACGGAGCCCGCGCGGTTGATCCACAGCAGGAAGTCTGCAGAGGGAGAGCGCGGGTGGCAGCGGGCCCGCGCGGCCGTGGGCTCGCGGCGGGGCCGGCGGCGCCGCGGCTACCTGTGCAGTAGCCCGGCGGCAGCACCTCGTCCTGCCGGTAGCACTCCTCTCCCACGAGCTGCCGCAGCGCCTCCGCCACCAGCCCCTTGTAGCTGCGCGGGGACAGGCGGTGAGGGCTGCGCAGGGACGCCCCGCGCGGCCCGCCGGGCGCGTGTGCGAGGAGCCACGGGGGTCCTGCCACGGGGAGCCGAGACCCCGGGCTCCGAGCTCCACCGGGCCCCCCTGGGGCTCCCATTCCCGCGCCCCAGCTCCCACCTGTACTTCCTGTTGGCCTCGTCGGCCGTGAGCGCGTGCTCGAACATGAGCACGCGGTAGCGCGGGTCGAGGCGGGGGCCGCTGTAGTCGCGGAACTCCAGCTCCACGGCGGCGTCCAGCAGCGAGAGGTAGCGGCGCACGATGAGCGCGTAGGGGCTGCCTGCGGGGACAGCGGCGCGGGCAGCCGGGCCGCAGCGCCGCCGAGCACGCGCCGCCCGCCGAGAGCCCCCACGTACTCATGACGTTGGTGATGAAGGCCGGGGAGAAGACCTGGTGCAGGACGCTCTGCGGGAAGTGGCTGAGCTGAAACATGGACATGAGGATGTTGACGGTGGCCAGGGGCGAGCTGGCTGCCTTCTGCTCCAGGATGGCCTCCAGCTTGGGGAAGAGCTCGCTGTGGTTGGACGGGCGGTAGTTCATGCGGCTGAAGGGAAACACCAGCTTCTGGATGACCTGCAGCCCGAGGGAGAGGCGTCAGGCCGGGGTCCTGCGTGTCACGTCCTGCCCGGAGCCCCGGGGAGGCCCAGGGCTCATGCCAGCCCACAGGGACAGCGCTGGGACATGGCCTGGCTGGACAGCGCCCCAGGGCAGCCTGTTGACGATGGCAGGGCGGCCGCAGAGCCGCAGGAGCCGCGGCCGCGGGGCACCCACCTTGCTGTCGAGCTGCTCGCCGCGCTTGAGCAGGAAGCTGGCGATGGTGTCGAGCAGCCGCGGCTCCCGCAGCCGGTGCCGCGCCACGTACTTGGCGATGAGGGCCATGGTGTAGGGCGTGAGGTTCTCTGCCTTCCTGGGCAGCCACTCTGCGGGCAGCGGGGCAGGACGTGAGCGCTGGGTCCCGCACGGCTGCGGCAGCCCGGCCAGCAGGGGCCACGCAGGCAGGACGGGGGCAGAGCCCTCCCCAAGCCCAGGGCCCTGCCCTCACCTGCCATGCTGCGGATGAAGCGCTCCTGACGGTTCTCGTAGAAGAGCTGAGAGCTGAAGATGGCCTCCAGGGCCTTGTTGTTGGCCTCCTGGGCACACAGGGCCAGCATCTCATCCAGCAGGGCCAGCTCGTGCTCCCGCATGGCGCTCACCTGCCCCAGCGTGTGCCTGACGAGGCGCAGGATCTTGCGGTTGTTGATGAGCTGCTGGTCGGAGGCCGGGTGTCCCTGCAGCGCCTGCGCGCGCAGCCGGTAGTAGGAGAGCAGCAGGAAGAGGGTCTGGGGGTGGCGCTCCTTGTCCAGGTGCCGCTCCAGGCTGCTGAGGCAGGACTCGACCAGGGGGTGCGGGCTGGACGGGTGCAGCCGCATGACGCTGCTGAACACCATGGACACGTCCTTCTGGTTGAAGCGGCCCAGGCGGCTGCGCGACTCGTCCTCCAGCACCCGCACCAGCGGGGACTCGCCGGGCAGCCCTGCGGGGACACGGCGTCAGCAGAGCCCCGAACGCGCGGGGACGGCAGGGAGCCCCGGGCAGCCCTGCGGGGACACGGCGTCAGCAGAGCCCCGAACGCGCGGGGACGG